AATGCCTCTAATCTGTCTGATTTGGATGCTTTATATGCCCTTTTCTTATTTTTAATTTATGCATTCACTTTCCCACTAAGCCATTTGGTTTTAATTTGTTTCTTTTATATTTATTACCTATTGGTACATACTGAGAAATGTACCTTTCTAATAAATGTTTAAAGATATTCCATTAAACCTCAGTGGGTTTTTTTCACTAAAGAGTTTATGCCAGTCAATATGTTGTATAGCTGACCTTATCTTATTAAATTTGGCCTTTTAAAAATATATTTTAGAATACCCCATGTGCCTTTGCTTTTAGGAGTTTATTTTGAAGGACATCGTATTGTGATCACTATTTCCCAAGTACTTGAATGTGGGTTAAAAGATTAAAATCGTTTGTTATTTCTGAGAAAAATTCAATAAAGCGTAAATTGAAAAAAAAAAAGAAAAAAAATTGTTTGTTATAACCAGGTCCAGACAAGCATCCTTTCTAGTTGGTGCTTGTACCAGTTGTGACCTAAAGGTGTAATTTAACATGTTCAAAAACCTGATTCCCCTTTCTGAACTATTAGTCTATCTCAATTTATGTCTGGGTAGTTAAAATCTTTAATAATTAATGTGTTACCTAGATGTGCAGCTTTTCCAATTTTGCTCCAAAAGCTGTTCTTCCTGATCAATATTAACATTAGGTGGTTTATTTTTTTTTTGTAAATATATTTTTATTGAATATTATTCAACATTTATCTTATGTTTCGTAGTAATAAGAAGTACACTGTGGACTCGCATGTCCCATCAATTATATAAAACATCCGACTGACAAGAAAAATTATATTATTAAAGGCATACTTCAGAGACATGCAGGTCTGTGATGCATCACTGTGATGGACTCGCAGGTCCTATAGCCTACATACATTAATACAATAACGTATAGTCATGTGTGGGATCAGCAATTTAGGGTCTGTCATCCGTTTTGCGTATATGTAGTAAATGTGCTATTATCAGCTTATACAGAGAACCTGCCTTTGTAGTGGTATCTGTGGAACCCGTTACCTAGGAAAGATTTTAGATTGGGTTCATGCAGTGTATTTTGGGTTTACCCTTAGTTGGTGATTTCCTATCTCTGGGTTTTTAGTCAAGCATCAGTGCGCAACATTCAGGGTTGCGGGTCCCATCTGTTGCGAGGGATCTCTGCTCAGGGTCCCTAATGTCGGGTGTCCCGGGGCAGGAAAGGATCCTGGGAGACAGTAGAAAACAAAGAGAAGAATGGGAAGGGGGCTCAGAGGTAGGTTTGGTATGAGGTCTCTTTGTCCATCAGGTTAAATTACAGTTGCAGTTTGGATGTAAAGTCCGCTGCGGCAGTGGTCAAGATCCAATGAAACTAAATCTCCATATACGCTGTAGAGGTGTTAACCACCCCCATGTGAAGCTCCTCTACTGCCTGAGCTCCTCCATTTGAGTAAACCATTTGAGTAAACCATGTCAGGGGTGGGGGGATACTTGACTGTTTCCAGAACTGTGAGAGGACCTGTTTGGCTACGTTCAGGATTCGAATGGTCATGGATTTCTCATATCTGGATCTGGGGTTGCCTGAGTGGTGTAAGAGCATTGCTGCCAGGTCCAGGGGAGGCGGCGTGTCTAAAAACCTCTACAGCATACTGTGTATTCCCACCCAGTAAGGTCTTATTTTTTCCTAGTACCCACCATATGTAGTGTGGTGCCCACCCCCTTCCCGTACCTCCAGCAGAGGTCGATGTGATTTAGGTCTCTAGCGTGTAAGAGGGCCGGGGTGCGGTACGGCGATAGGCTGTGTTTCCTTGAGCCCCTCTGCTATATTCGTAGGGTGTGCCGCGTGTATGGGAAATCCCCTCTTCCATCCACACCCCCCAGAGTCACCATGGCAGAACTGGTCTGTCTGCCTCCGATTCCTCCACTACCTTCCATAGTTTATAAACATTAGTGTTCGTCCATTCCACATAGTAGAGTTAGAAGTCCGGCTGTCATGATCTTGCTCAGGTCAGATAGGAGGCTTTGGCCAGTTTTAACTAAAGAGGCTTTATTGGTAGGTTTTGACATATCAGCAGGTTAACTTATAGAATGAAAAAATAGGGAGAAGGGAAGTGAAAAAAATAAACTTTAAGGCAATATGCCCTATAAAGACAATAAACAGGTTTGCAAATAATAAGAAAGCTAGGGATAACAGTATAGGAAGAATAATAAGAGTTGTTAGCAATCCAGGTGGGTATGGAGCAAGGTTTGAAGTGAATCAGGTTGGAAGCAAGGAAGGCATGTCACAGGTTGCTACTCATGAGCCAGGATCTGAAGTCATTCAGTAAGAACATCAACTTCAATGTAAAGGCCACTTGGTTTGTCGGGTGTGGCCTTTTATAGCAGAACTGGATTCATGCTATACAGGTGAGAGTCTCAGGTGACTAGTCGCTAGGGAGGCCACCAGTGGTGAAGAGCTGGAACATGATTTATTTTTCCAATTTGACATTTTTTATTTTTGAGTGTACGTGGGGTACAGAAGAGAAAAGGGGTAGGGTTGTAGCAACATCACATCATTCAGTTCCCATCAGTAAAGTACATTGTTATACATGCTTAAACATCAATAAGCAACAGTATTTATCGATAAACATCATTAGTAATCGCCTCCACACAGGATTTGTGGCCTATGTTGCTATCTATCTAATGCGGTGTGCGGGGCTTGTTCTGTCCTTCTGCCTTAACTGTCTAAGCGGCCCCTTACTCTGGGGCTTCTTTGCTCTTAGTACACCTGAGAGCTCAGCCTGGTGCGTGCAGTAAGGCTGCCACAAGGGGAGGGGAGGTTAGATGGGGGAGGAGAAGAATGGGGGGGGGGGGTTATTACTTTCCTCATCTAGCCCCAGAGGCTATCTCTGGTGAGCCTCCTTAGTCCTTAGACTCCCTTGGTTCATTTGTGTCGCCTGTTCCGTGTTGTTAGTGCTTCATCATGCTGTCTGGTGGCTAGTGAGTATTCTGACTGACTCCTTTTGTTAACGTTGGGTATCTACTAACATAACTATGTACAGTGTGGGTGTCCTCTCCCTTATTCTTGTCCGTTAGGGGTTTTATGTGCCCTTCCCTAAATAGCTGTTGTCGCCCTTTTTGCTTCTGAATCTCTGCTGCCTGTTATTGTGTAGTTGACTTATTCCTGCCTCTGCTTTCTTTGTCATGTCTTGCAAGGAATTTGTCCCACTCCTGTTTGGCTCCTGTTCTATACTCCTGTATTGTGAGTCCTATGTGTATCCTTGTCTCGTAATCTATGTTCGTTGTGATTTGCTGAATCACTGCGTCTATGCTCGGGGTTTCTGTCTGTTTCCATGCTTTTGCAATGTGTAAGTTTGCTGCGATTAGTATATGAAACATTAGGAAGGCTTGAAGTTTGGGGAGTTTGTCTAGGTTCATGAAAAGGAGTCCACATTCCGGCTCTAGTTTCCCCGTTTGATGTAGGGCGGTTTCAATTATGTTGCTTATTTCCCCCCAATAGTCTGCAATGGGAGGGCACTTCCACCATATGTGGTACATCGTGCCTTCCTCCCTCCCACATCTCCAGCAATTCTTAGACATATTGGGATAGATAGTCGCTAGCCTGGTAGGCACCATGTACCATCTGTACTGTATTTTGCGTATTAATTCTAAGTGGGAAGCGCATCTAGATCTGCCCCTATGTGCTATAAACGCGTTTTGCCAGAGTTCATCCGTTAGTGTTTTGCCTATGTCTGTTTGCCACGTTGTTTGGAATTTCTCTCTATCCTCGGCTGGGGGGTCTAACAGTAGTTTGTATAGGGTGGAGATCAGTTTATTTGGTATCTTCTTGATTGTGCAGATTCCCTCAATATTTTTTGCTTTTTTAGGTGTGGTACCCTCTGTGTCATGTTCCAGGAGTGACTTGAGCTGGAGGTAAGAGAACAGGGATTGTGGCGGTAGGTCGTATCTGGTCTGGAGGTCTGGGAATTGCAGTAGAGTGGTGTTTTGAAATAGATGTTTGACTAACGTACAGCCGCCCTTTTCCCATGGTTTGTAATTGAATGAGGGATTAGCTATGTGTATGCTCTGTATCGGGGTTGCTAAAGACCAGTGTTTCGTGTATCCCAGCTGAGGTTTCGTGGCATCCCACGTCCTCAGCAGGAGTGCTGTGGTATCGGGTATGTCCGTGGGCTTAGGGCGTAGGTGGTGAGGCATCCAAAATAGGTGGTGTAGCCCTTTTGGGCATGTCCACTGTGTTTCTATATCTACCCATTGCGGCCTATCTTCTACTTTGTGTGTCATCAGCACCGTGGCTATTAGGGTCGCTTTGTAGTATGCGCTCACATCTGGTATTCCTAGCCCCCCTGCTGTCACTGGTTTTCTTAGTATTTTGGTTGATACTCGGATCCTGCGGTTAGCCCATATGAATCTATTTAGTGTTTGTTGGAGTTTTTGTAGGTACTTGTTAGTCAGTGGTATCTGTAGTGTACGGAACAGGTATTGCAATTTGGGCATCACCATCATTTTAATGGCTGCTATCCTGCCTACCCAAGACAGGTATTTGTCCTCCCATGTTTGTAAAGTGGTGATTATCTCGCTCTTTAATTTCCCATAGTTGTGTTCATGGAGTCCGGCTGTTGTTTTAGTTATCCGTAAGCCTAGGAAGGTGATGGAGTCATCCCTCCAGTCGAGGGGGAATGTGGCTTTTAGGTGTGTTATTATGTGTCCTGGTACCCCTATCCCCATTGCTTGCGTCTTTGTGACATTAAGCTTATAGTACGACTGGTCCCCATACAGTCGGATCTCCTTCAGTAGGTTGGGCAGTGATATTAGGGGTTGTGTGAGTGTGAGTAGGATATCATCCGCAAATAGATTCGCTTTGTATTCCTTTCCCCCCACTTTCACCCCATGTATAGAAGTGTTTTCCCTAATTTTCGTCGCTAGGGGTTCCAGGGCTAGCACATAAAGCAATGGGGATAGGGGACACCCCTGTCTTGTTCCGTTAGTAAGCTCGAAGGGATCAGACAGGAATCCTGAGTTTAGTACCTGCGCTGTTGGCGCTTTATACAAGGCTTTTATTACTGCTACTATCGTGTCTGGGATCCCAAACCTCTTCAGGACCTCTTGTAGGAATCCCCAGTGCAGACGGTCGAAGGCCTTTTCTGCATCTAGGGAGACCAGAATCCCCCCTTCGTTGTGGTTACGTATCTTGTGCAGTAGAGTTATGACCTTCCTGGTGTTATCGGCCCCTTGCCTCCCTTTGATGAATCCCACCTGGTCGTTGTGTATTATGTGGGGTAGCACGGATCCCAATCTCTTGGCATATATTTTTGCTAGTAATTTTGCGTCCGTGTTGAGGAGTGATATAGGTCTAAAGTTCTGCGGTGTTGTTGGTGTCTTGTTCGGCTTTGGGAGTGTCACTATGTGTGCTAGTAATATGTCGCTAGGGAGAGATTTGTTGAGTGTTGCTTCGTTAAACGTTTTAACCAGTTGGGGTGCTAAGATCGTCTGGTAGGTTTTATAGTAGGTATTGTTAAAGCCGTCTGGGCCTGGTGATTTCCCGTTTGGCAGGGAGTTTATTGTGTCTATCATTTCTTGGATTGTGATTGGGTTGCTAAGTGTGTCTTGTTGCTGTGTTGTCAGCGTAGGCAGCTGAACTCCCCTTAGGTAGTCTGTAATTCCCTGTGTCTCAGGTTGTGTGGTGGCGATATTATCTTTGAGATTGTATAGGTCCGAATAGTACCTGGCAAATACATCACTGATGCCTTTTGGGGTTGAGACCTTTGTCCCTTTGTGGTCTAGTAAATGGTGAATCTTTTGGTTTGTTTGCTTGAGTTTTAGGCGGAGTGCTAATAGTTTGCTGGCTTTGTTGCCCTGAACATAATTCGTCGTCCTTAGGTTGGTCATGTGCCTGTTGACCTGATCTATGGCTTGTTGGTGTATGAGCCTCGCTATGTGGGTTATGCGTTGTTTTGCTGCAACGGTAGGTGAAATTTGGTTTAGCGTGTTTAAGTCATATAGTTCCTTTTGCCAACCCTTAAGTTGTGTTTGTGTTGTTTTCTTTATGTATGCTGCTCTCCTAATCAGTAGGCCTCTCATGACAGCCTTGTGGGCTTGCCATACTGTGGCTGCTATACCTCCCGTGTCATTGTCCTCAAAGTAAGCCCTCATCTCTTCTGCCAATTCCCCTTTAAACTGTCTGTTCAGCAGTAGTGAGTCATTTATTTTCCAGGGGCTACGGTGTTTGAAGTCATACTTGTCTTTAAGCTCTAGTGTTACTGGGGCATGGTCAGACCACGTTATTTGGCCTATGTCGCTGGACTGCACTTGGTTCAAATGGGATCCTGATATCAGGATGTTGTCTATCCTGGAGTATGAGTTGTGGACCGGGGAATAGTGTGTGTATGCTTTTTCGTCGGGGTGTGTGATTCTCCAGGTGTCGTACATGTGGTGTGTGTGTAGGAGTCTTTGTATGGCCTTGCATTGTCTTTGTAGGGGTCGGTGACTGCGGCTGTGCGGGGGTAATGTGGTGTCCAGTTTCTGGTCTAGGATGTGGTTGAGGTCTCCGCATAGTATTGTAATGTCGTATGGATTATTCGCTAGTTTGGTAAGGATTTTGTGTAGAAAATTCCTTTGATTGACGTTGGGCGAATATATGTTAGCGATCGTGTACTCCATGTCGTTTAATGTGCCCGACACTATAGCGTATCTGCCGTTTGGGTCTATATCTTGGCTATGCAGGGAAAATGTAATATCTTTGCTTATCAGTATAGAAGCCCCTTTTGACTTCGTAGTGGAAGTGGAGTGAAATTGGTGTGGGAAATCTGCAAGCATCGATTTAGGAAAATCCTCTTTGCGGTAGTGGGTCTCTTGTAGACAGAGAATGTCAGTGCGGGTTGTTCTGAGTTCGCGGGCAAGGAGGTGTCTTTTTGCGGGGACATTCAGTCCTCGCACATTATATGTGCATATTCTCACGGTGGTCGTCTGTTGTGGGCGTGTATGTTAATTGATGAAGCGTGTATTAGTGCGGGGGTCCCTGCTCGTCCCAGCTGAGTCCAGCTGAACAGGGAGGTCCCTAAGGTTGGTTGTGCTGCACCTTTCAGTGTAGTGGACGGACATTGGTCTTGTCTAGCTTGTATTGCAAGCATCATGTGTTGGGGGAGTGGCTTGGGGCTACCCACAAGCCCTGCAGTATATGCATCAACATTTGTGCAAAAAACATAACATGTAACAATCAAAAACATTGACAATATAAACTTCTGAACCATTTCAGTGTGTGCCTCTAGTTCGGCTTGGCACTGCTTGTATGTGCCGTGGGGGTTGAGGCAACTACCTCTGTCCTGTGTGAGCTCCCTCACTCGAGCGCTTCTAAGTGGTGTCTAACGTAATGAAACCCTGCGTCTAGTACCATTTTTTTTTAATTTTTTTTATAATACAGTTCCCTCTCTTTTTGTGCTAGTCCTCCCATTTATGCTCTATGTCCTCCTCCCCCTGGGCCCTGCGTTACTGGCTATTTCTTAACGCATTTGTCCCTTGTTTTGCTTAGTACTGGGACTGTTAATGCATTATGTTTCGTGCTTGGGCTGGGCCGTATTAGGGCGAGGTCTTCCCTCAGGAGACCTATCCTCGGCTAGTCCTTTAATGTTCCCGTCCACCTCCCAAACAGTTTCCCAGCCCCTCCCGTTATCAAACGGTACATTACCCAACCGGTGTGTCATAGTTCGTGTTAGTAACTGATATGGCAAGGCGCGGAACTGTGGTGGTTAATGTTGGTCTACAGTCTCTCAAGTTTTTCTATCTTCTCTTGGTTTTCTTCCACTCCGGGGAGATTCTGGGTACTGTTGGGCCATCGTGTGTATTCGTCGCTGCGGATATGTCCCAGGTCTTTAAGATTCGTACCCCTTCTTCAGGCGTGGCGATTACCGTTGTTTTCCCTCCTCTAGTTACCAAATGTTTGGTGGGGTATCCCCATCTATACGGCAGTTTGTGGTCTCGCAATGCCACCGTGATGGGTTGAAAATCCCTCCTTCGTTTAAGGGTATAAGCTGACACGTCTGCGTAGATGACGTGGTTTTTGTATTCGGCTGGTAGCGTTTTACCTGCTCTGTTAGCCGCCAAAATGGCCTCCTTGGCGTGGAAGTAATGTAGCCGCAGGAGTATATCTCGGGGGGTCTCTGGGGGCAGAAATGTGGGCCTCGCCGTGCGATGAATTCTGTCCATAAGAAGCGTATCCGCGGGCAAGTCAGGGGCTAGATGTTTAAGTAAACCTGTGACGTGCGCGTTGAGGTCTGCCGTGCTCACCGTCTCAGGTACACCCCTAATGCGCAGGTTGTTCCTGCGGGCCCTGTCCTCCATGTCCGCTATCTTGATGTCCTGTGCTGTGACTTTTGCTGTCAGCTCCTCCAATTTGTCTGCCAAAGCATTGTGAGCTTCTGAGATTCCCTCCATTTTAGTTTCTATATGGGATGTTCTGTGTCCCTGTTCGTGTACCTCTTTTCTGAGGTCTTTAAGTGCTGTATCCAATTTTTGGAGGAGTTTGTCTGACATTTCATCGAGGAGGTGTTTCATCCTGCTGTGGGTGAGTGGAGGTTCCCCTTCCTGGGGCTGTGTGGCAGCTTCGTGATCGCTGTCGGCGCCATCTTGGGCCATGTCTGGCGGCTGCCAGTGTTTGCTCTGTGCGGCTCTCGCCGCGAAAAAGTTTGATTTTTCCTGTTTGTCCGTGGTCCTTTTGCTTTTAGGCTGTGACATGTCGGCTGCAGGTTAGTTTATCTGTGGTTTGCTGCGGGTTAATTGCTCTTGGAAGCCTGCTCAAGCGGAGCTCTCAGCTCATGCGACCTGTTCGCTCGGCGTCCAGGACACGCCCCCTGGAACATGATTTAAAGGAACACAAATAAACGAACATAGAACTTAGTTGTCAGAATAAGATCCTGACACCGGCATTGCCAAGCCTCACTTCTTTAGGTTGCATAAGGGTAGGGAGCTTAACACTTTGTCTTTTCCTGTTCCTTATGCAGTGTCCCATCGCTGAGCGGAGGGAGGTGAAAAAGGGTTTAGGAACCATGATGGGGATGGCCGTAGCAGGTAAAGTAGGCAGGGAAGGAAGTTATTTTTTTATAACCTGGACTCTCCCTCGCCAGGATATGTATGGCTAGGACCATTCCGCTATCTCCAGCATAATGTAGCCAGTAAGGGGGCTAAATTCTCCTTGAATAGATCACCACTCTGTCTAGTCCCTTGGAACATTAGGTGGTTTATAACATATCCCAACCAATAAATGATTTCCCTTCTTTTGCCCCAAGCAGATATCTACTCATAAAGCTTCCACATGTTCCTTGTCACCTTCCACTGGATTAAGATTTGGCTTGAACTCATGGTTGACATACTAACATACCCCACCACCTTTTCTGTTTTTGTATCCTCTCTAAATAGTGTGTAACAATTTAAGTTAACTGCCTAGTCATGTGTCTCATCCCAACATGTTTCTGTTATGCCTATTATGTCATGTTGCTTAGTGTACGCTATTGCCTCTAGTTGCCCCATTGTGTTATTTAGGCTCCTTGTAAGCAAACATTTAATATTATGAGTCACTTTTACTGTATGTGAATTTTTATTACTATTACATACCTCCACAGTTCTGATCTTGTATGTCCCCATCTCCTCCCCCTTGTGCTGATTTAAAGCCCATGTCCTTCCTGTCCTATCTCCATTTTGTAGATTTCTATGTCCTTCCACACCACCACTAGTTTAAAATCTCCTCCAACCTTCTAGCCATCATGTCCCCTAGCATTGCAGACCCTCATCCATTTAGGTGCAATCTATTACGACTACAAAAGACTCTTCTGCCCCCTTTGCCAGGCCTCCCATGGCATCATGTATTCTCTGCATGCATGTAGATAGCAAACACCTATTCATGTAAAATATTTTAGAGACGTAATAACATTTCTGGTAAAGATGATGTGAAAAATAATAACATAGGCAATAAAATTGGAAGCAGTGGTTACTCTTGGATAAATTTATTTCATAATTTTTATATAAACAGTTATTTGTTGAATAATTTACACTCAGCATGTTTCGTTTCAATGGTCAAAGATATTTTTTTTCTGTACATAAATGTTTTAGCTCTAATATGAAAACATTGAAAAAATAAACCGAGCTTTTTTTTTTTTATTAGATTTTTATTTTACACCTTTTTTTGCTTTGATTTTGAATTTTTTTATTTAGATTTTTTTTTAAAATCATTTTAAATTTACTTTTTTTCACAAACCATGGCACATAGGATATATCTATCTTTACATATATATGTATGTACATATGCACATGTGTGTATATGTATATATATATATATATATATATATATATTTATACACACATATATAGCTTTTTATGTAAAGATAGATATTCATGTATCTATATAGCATCAACAGATCTATATAGATGCATATACTATTTTTTTTATTTATTTTTTTATCCTTAAAAGGAATTTTAACGTCTCCACCACCAGAGAGAAGGTGGAAAGTGGATGTCTCTACTGGCAGTTGCAGGAGAGTTAAAACGAGGTATTTGATAATGACGGCTGGGGTGAGAAGAAGGATTTAAAGAGCACTTTCAGGGTTCGAGCATAAAAAAAGAAAAAAAAAAGAAAAAAAAAAAAAAGCAGCAAAAGAAACCCCTTCACAACTAAAGTAGTGAAGAGGTTGTACACAAAGTGACAAAAGAAATAATTATAACTGGCAGGAACACTGCAGAGTTAGTTTAGAAATCTCAACTGATAGGTTCAATGGGTAATCTCTCCCCTCCCCAAGCCCTTCCTTATATGAGATAAGTGTGGTGCCAATATAATGGGCATGACACAGAGATACGGGACTGGAGATAACTAAACATGTATGTAATGAATGGACTATTTTCCATGATCTATATATATATATAAATACATGGGGCACAAGATAGCAGTTGAAATGAGGTATACACAAAAAAAACCAAGGTCAAATACCTCAATAATTACTAGCTTGCATACATTTTGTCATGCTAGTAGCAATGACATATAGCCAGCCCACTGTGAATTGAATTTGAAGGATTATTTGTCCAAATATTAATACAAATATCCTTTGATTGTAAGACTGAACTAGGTAGTATATTGTATTGACACAAGTTTTGGAATGACAAATAAGTTAGCTTGGCTAAACCTTAGGCAACATTTGGGTAGGGCTTAATTCTATTAATCTAGGCCAGGGGTGTCCAAAATGTAACAAACCCCATTTTATGTATTGTTATATAAGTATAATTCCCAGAATGCTCTACCAGGAGTACAGCATCATGTGAATTGTAGTTCTGCAACAGATGGAGAACTAACTCTCCTTGTCTTAGCCACTGTCAGAGATGCAGTAAGCCTTTCAAGGACCCAAACTGGCTCTCTAGAATGTTCGATCTGCCAAGCAATGCTCACATTTTAAACATGATTACAAACATTTTTAACATGTCAGAAAGTTGAAGAGTTAATGGAACCTCCTTCTGATACGTAGGATATTAATCAATTCACTGCCAAAGGGAAATAGGTTAAAGCTGAACTATGGCTTCATGGACAAATCTAACTATGTAAGGGAGAAAGCAAAGAAGAAATCCAACAATTTACAGAAGGTGCTATTTATATATGTTGGAGTTTGTTTTTTTCACAAAAATCAGACTAGTGAATTGAAAACTAAATTGCTAAATGTAGTCAAAAAGTGGTGATTTTGAAAAATTCTCAAACTTGTCTACAGTTACAGATTAGTTATTTTACCCTAAATCCTGCAATTTGGTTTTCAATTACTTACAATTAAGTGTGAATAAAACAGTGAATTGATTCATGATAGAACGGGAAATAGTTAAACAAACACAACATTGCTCATAAATCCATTTTCTGCTGGCTGGTAAGGACCGTATATGAATGAATTCTTAATTCCAAATAGTTGGACATTAACATCACTCACATTAACAACTATACAGTGCAATGCTTGGAATAGAAGATGCATTGCAACAGCTTTACACAGCCTTTGAGTTTCGCAGAGAAGAAAATGCTCGGTTCAATTGGGTAAAGCAACTTATAAGGAACCAGCAAAGATGGATTAACCTACTTCACTGACATATGTTAATCAGGCAGTGAAATGGGTTAAAGCCAAACCCAGTCCTTTGAAGTTGTAACAAAAAAGCTTTGTGAAATTTCTGATAAACTAGGCCTAAAAAGAATAATCACGATTAGCAACACTTAAGGATCCAAGAGGTAATCAGTTTTTCTTTAAAAAAAAAAAAAATAATAATAACATTTCTAATAAGCTAATATCAATCGGCGCAAAATAATAAAAATTAAAAAAAGTACATTCACATTAATTTTATCTCAAAAACACAAGCACTTAACATAACTCTGCAAGAGAGGTTCTCAGGGGGTATCCTTGCACAAGTATTCCCAAAAAAGCAGCAGCAATAAAACAGGTTAAAAAAATAAAAATAAAAAGATTCAAACTCAAGTCTACAGAGTTTTCATACTCAACTGACTTGCAGTGTATTAGCCCATGGATACATATGTCTTAATGGCCTTATTTTTTACAATTCCTTCCAGATTAAAGGACCACTCTAGGCACCCAGACCACTTCAGCTTTATGAAGTGGTCTGGGTGCCAGGTCCCTCTAGGATTAACCCTTTTTTTTTTATAAACATAGCAGTTTCAGAGAAACTGCTATGTTTATACTGAGGGTTAATCCAGCCTCCAGAGCCTCTAGTGGCTGTCTCATTGACAGCCGCTAGAGGCGCTTGCGTACTTCTCACTGTGAAAATCACAGTGAGAGCACGCAAGCGTCCATAGGAAAGCATTGTAAATGCTTTCCTATGCGACCGGCTGAATGCGCGCGCGGCTCCTGCCGCGCATGCGCATTCAGCCGATGACGTCGCGAGCAAGGAGGAGAGGAAGAGTACAGCTCCCCGCCCGGCGCTGGAGAAAGGTAAGTGTTTAACCCCTTCCTCTCTCCAGAGCCCGGCGGGAGGGGGACCCTGAGGGTGGGGGCATCCTCAGGGCACTATAGTGGTCCTTTAACTTTTTTAAATAATAAATGAATGCATAGTATTACACATCCATAGTAAAATATGTCAATTAAATGACATAAAGAGACTGAAAGTACTGCTGCATGGGAAATCTTTAACACTTCTTTCAAATGGAGAATTCAGGATTTAGCGCATGCATGTTGCTCCACCCCCTTACCTTCTTTCTCTTGCCCCGAGCACACTTACAGATTTTAAAAGCAGAGCTCAAAAGAATACACTGTGTGTCATAATTCCATTGA